AAACAAGAATTGTGTTCTCACGCTTTAAAGTCATTAAAGATGTGTGCTGTATAATCACCACCTACCACCAGGCAGATAATTGGGAAACCCTGGCTGAGTCATGCATGTTGTTATTCAGGTCCTCCCGGCACTGGAAAGACCACCAGCATCTTGTGTTTGGCCCGCGCTCTGCTGGGAACCTCGATGAAGGACGCCGTGCTGGAGCTGAACGCCTCCAATGACAGGTGAGGCGCCGCTCAGGACGACCTCTGGTTGTTTGGTGGACTGGGAGTTGACTGTGAGCTTTTTATCTGCAGGGGCATCGACGTGGTGAGGAACAAGATCAAGATGTTTGCTCAGCAGAAGGTCACACTGCCCAAAGGACGGCACAAGATCATCATTCTGGACGAAGCCGACAGGTAAGCAAGCCGTGCAGTGACTTTTTAAAAATAAGGAAATTCCAATACTTCGGCTAAAACTTCAAGGTAACATGAAGTACGGAATAATGATAACAAGAAAGATCTGCTGCCCTCGTCGGTCATGTTCACACTGAGTTTTTGTGTCTTGATCCCCGTCTTTGTGAAAGCTCCAGAAAACATGCTTTGCTCCCACGAAAGCAACGAGTCAAGCTTCAGTAGCTCTGCATTGCCCACAGTGGTGAAAGTCAACTGTTCTCTAAAGAAGCACAAAAAACCAACAACTCTCTAAGCTGAGGTCCTTCGGTCGTAAAGTCCGTTTGTGCTGAGTGAAAATGACAAGCAAGTAAAACTTTACTGACATCACACACTTCATGGAAAATCCCACCACTAGATGTCAGCAGATTGCAGTCAACTGAGTTATTTTCTCATCCCTCCAAGTCCAGGGTGTGCTCCTGGCTACGGTGGCTGCTGTAGGACAAATCGGTTTTAGTCCGCCAAGATATCAAAAACATTAAATCGATATCGTCCCATAACGGTGGGGACCGGCTCCTTCTGTTTGTGTCATAATATACATTTTGCACAAACAACATTTTAACATATTTGAATAATATCAACACTAATAGTTGAATAATAAATAAAAAACATACATGAATTTAAATATTCTGTCGGCTTTTTTACGCTTTTACGTCACCCCAAAAACTCTGGCCTCCATTCATCTGTGGCGAGCGTACTCCGACACAAAGTGACTCTGGACCAGGTCA